TTGAAGAGACGCTCCTTGCTTGAAGAGGATGACTTAAAGGCGATGGTAGCAACACCACCTTCTCCTTCAACCTTGTCTTTTGACTTGGGCTTGAGCTTGACTTCGGGATCTTCTTCATCTCTAGAGTACCACACTTCCGCCATGTGTGCCTCCGCCACATGAGCACGCTCCGTCTTCTTCTTGCCTCCCTTAGCCTTAGCTTCATTTGACTTGGGACAATCGGCAATGAAATGACCAAATTCGCCACAATTGAAGCACGCTCTCTTTGATTGCCTCTTTCCCTTGTCATCATCCTTCCTTCCTTTTCCATAGCCACTCTTGCGAAGAAAGTGCTTGAATCTCTTGACAATAAAAGCCATTTCTTCATCTTGACTTTCTTCACCACTTGACTCTTCTTCTTGTTTTGCCTTCAAAGCAACTTCTTGATTCTTGATCATGGCGGCATTCTTCACCATTTGTCTCACTTCACGAGCTTCCTCTTCTTGCATCTCATGAGACACAATTCTTCCAAGAATGTCACTTGGGGTGAGCCTCTTGAAGTCTTTCCTTTCCCGTATCATTGATACAAGAGTGGGATTTCTTGGACCAAAAGTACGGAGAAGTCTTTTGACAACAAAGTGATTTGTCATGTCCTCACTCCCAAGTCCTTTAATCTTGTTGACAAGGATCATCATCCTATCATACATCTCTTGTGGTGTCTCCTTGTCATCCATCACAAATCTTCCTAGCCTTCCTTCCAATAGTTCAATCTTGGCATCACAAATGGCGGGTGATCCCTCATGAGCCAATTGCAAAGTATCCCATATCTCCTTGGCCTCCTCTAGTCCATCAACCTTGTTGAACTCCTCCGGACTCAAGGCGGAGAGAATTGCATTGGAAGCTTGAGCATTGCGGTGGATGAGTTGTTCTTGCTCCGAAGTGAGCTCCATGTCCTCATGAGGTACGTCAATACCTGTACACACAATTTTCCAAATACTTGGATGCAAAGAGATTAGATGCAACTTCATCTTGTGCTTCCAAGCGGCGTAATATGTCCCATCAAATTGAGGAGCACGCCCGGAAGGCACGGAGACGAAGTTGTGAGAGGGAATGGTAAGTTTGTTGTAATCAAAAGGTATAGTGGCTCCCTTGGGTGATGGAGTTCCCTTGTTGCTCGCTCCATCTTCATTTCCAATTTCCCCGTCCTTTCCCCCTAAGTCCGACATCGTGGATCACTCAAAGCGGTGAAGCTTGAATCAAGAGCACCTTGATCTGATACCAATTGAACGCACAGAGATGTAGCCTAGAGGGGGGGTGAATAGGCTTTCCTGAAATTTTCTCAACAATCGCAGCGGTTAAATTAACAGGGCCCGGAACCTCCTGGTGAAGAACACCGGAACTTCCTGGCAGAGATGAGCAGCCCGGAACTTCCGGAGTTCTTGAGCTAGGAAATTCCGGGCAACAGAGAAAATCAAAATTTGGGGAAGCAAAACAAGTCCTAGCTAGAGACAATCAGGCACAAGGTTGCACAAGATGTAAATCACAAGATACCAGCAGATTCAAACACAAATCATGCACAAGAGAGACAGGCGATTTTTTCCCGAAGTTCGGATCACACGGATCCTACTCTCCGTTGAGGTGCTCAAAGAGCCGGGTCTCGATTAACCCCTTGCCTCACTTATGCAAAGATCCCAGAAGAAGTCCACAGCCTTCAACTCAACACTTCTAGGTCATTTTCTAGAATTGAGTGACCACCAAGATCCAACTCACAATTCCTTCTAGAAAAGACCACAAGTGTAAGTTGCTCTACCTAGGACAACCTCTGAAAACTCAGCACAAGAATCTTTACTCACTTACCTCATTTCCTTGCGGAGGTGAGAAAAACCTTCACAAACTTTCCCGGGACATCCACAAGATCTTTGGAAGCTCACGGGCGACACCTAACCGTCTAGGAGAAGATCTCCAAGAGTAATAAGCCCAAGTGACAGCCCACAAGGTATCTAAAGTGCTCAAACAAACCTAATCTTCAAGCCATCTCCAAAACACTCCTACACTCTAATCTAATCTCTCAATCTCACAAGATAGACTCTAGATTTGAGTGGAGGAAGCAAAGGAATCTTGGGAGTGGCTAGAAAACCCTAGAACATGAAAGAGCTGAAGTGGAATGGCCAAAGGGTGACCTGGGGACGGAATCCATATATATAACGGCTAGGTGACGTCATCTAGCCGTTACTCACAAGTTTGAACTGGAAGCCTGCCAGGAGGTTCCGGGCAAAAAGTGCCAGGAACTTCCGGGCAGCACTTAGGAAAATTTGCTGTTGAAATGGCGCCCGGAAGTTCTGGCCAGAACCTCCGGGTAGCCCTCTCTGTCCCGGGGAGAAAAATCATTTTTCAAAAATGATTCCAAAAATATTTTGACACATGGATATGACTAAGAGCACTTTGTATACCCTAGAACCACACTTGAAACCCCTTTTAATAGTACGGTTTTTCCTAAACTCAATTTCGAAAGTGAAAAACCTAGTCTAATCACCTTCGGTGATTTTCGCACTTAGGAGCATTCAAATTGGGGGGTCTCCTTGCATTCTTAGCCATCACAACTTGCTTTGGGACTAAACTCCTGTGAATAAACTTGATAAACACGTTAGTCCCCTTTAACCACCTTGTCATTAATTACCAAAACCCACTAGGGGGTTTAAGTGCATCTTCAGTCATCGTTGCCCATCCAGCTAGACTCGGTTTTCACCTGGAGGGTCCTATCAAGGATGGAAGGGTGGCCGCTCGACAACACCCCGAAAGGGGGAACGCGATATCCGAAAACGCTGCCATTGCTGGCTTGGGAAGTCCCAAGCTAGGTTTTCGTCTGCAAGCCTCCCTACCACACTTGCCCCCGCCACCCCCAAGCACTGCCACCTACACAATGTCTACCAACTCAACCTCAGCTGCACCAGTGCCCCATCGCTAGCTGGCCCTGCCACCGGTCTCCTCCACAGCCATGACGCCTCCGCAGCTTGCTAGCTCCCTCTCCCACAGCGCAGTGACCCCTGCCGTTGACGTGAAAGGGTCACTGCCGCCGAACACGCCGGCCTCTCACGGTCACAAGCCACGACAGCCTTCATGCCGTCTGCCACGCCGGCCTCTCGCGGTCTTAGACCGCGACATCCTCCCTATCATCGCCCACGCTAGCCTACGCTGCCACCGAACGCGTCGGCCTTGCCACCGGCCGCGTCGTGCATCCCCCTTCGCCGGCCACGACCGCACTTTCTCGGGCCGCCCCGCGACTCCACTGTGCTGCCGTCGCCGCGAACTTCGCCGTCCTCTCCCGATCTGGTTGCGGGGTGTGTGGGGGGGGCTGAGGGGGGAGGCAGATCCGCCTCCGAGGTGGCTGGCTCCATCACGCCAACCACTCTAACCACTGGTCCCCACACCCGACACGCGCCACTCCACCTCGTGTCGAGAAGGAGTTTCATCGGGGTTGTGTCCCCCACCACCACCTTCCCGGCTGGTCCCTTGGTTTCCAGTGGCGGGCTCTTGCGGCGGCGAGGTGGCAAGGAAGGGTGAGGGGGTTGGCGGCGCTGGCGGCTAGGTTTCGTCCCCGAGCCGCCCACGCGAGAGCGATGGGGAAAACTATTGATATTACTTGCCATTATTCTGACTAATTTAAGGCGATCTGTAGAGCGAAGAAATGGAAAAACAAAAGATCTAAAGAGAAGCCAAATTAAACAGCTCGAGTCGGGGCTACGGAAGAAAAGCTCTAACGTTGAACCTAAATAAAAGCAAATGACCAATATGGAGGAAAAAAAAAAGACGCTTTGTGCAGTAGCGCATTAGTCCTAATGCACGCCTACTCATTTCCTTCTCTTCCATTCACGCCTTTCCCAAAATAGCATCACGAACATGGCTCCGTGCTGTGTGGGTTTTTCTTGTGGGCACAGATGTGTCGTTCGGTAAGTCCAAATCGAGCATGCGCACAAAATAGATTTTATCAAAAAAGAGCTCTACAAAATTTTAATTAAAAAATGTAAACGGAGATAAGGTGAGAAGAGAAGTCCGATTTCTCAAGATACAAGGTGGTTATACCTGCTCACAGCTTCCTATTCAGGATTTAAGAGTACCTAAGACGTTATTTTTTGCGGGAAAGCTTAAAGAAAAGTTAATGAGCCACAAGAAAAATAAGAAAAAGAGAAGGTTCACTCAAACGCTAGAGATTAGAGATTATTTTAACTTGTAACCAAATCTAAATCTCAAGAAACATGGAAGTCTAAGAGATGGTTCACTCAAACTTCACTCAAACTCTAGAGATTATTTTAACTTGTAACCAAATCTAAATCTCAAGGAAACATGGAAATCAATAGACGTAGCAAGACCTGGGCATAACAGTAGCCCAAATGAATTCAGCATCAACCAGTGTTATGGATAACGGTTGGTACGGCCGTATATTCGGGCGTTAATACGGTGGCGCCGACCCCTCCGTCACGAATGAGCAAAACGCTGATCATTAATCGTTTAAGGACGTATAATCACCGTCATTAGCAATTAATCAGCCGTTTCCGACTAATCAGCCGAATAAACGGGCCAAATCATGTGACAAGGCCAGAAGGCCCTGCCAGCCAGCCCATGATACTGCCCATTAGTTGTGTAACCTAGCAATATATAGCTACAGAACGTCGTTTTAGTGTCACTTATATAGTGTTACATGCTTTTGGTATTTCCTTTATGCGTTACGAGCCAAACCTATCACTATATGTTCAGACATATATTTTACTATATGCCGAGTTAATGCCATGTTATCCTTATTTTTATTTAAGAATAGTAGGTATATATGTAGTTATATGCATTTATCTATCAAAAATAATAAGCTATTATGAGTTATGTACATATATTTGTCCAAAACGTTAAATTTCCGTCAAATTCCGATTATTCGCCCGTACTCCGATTATTCGTTTAGCGGAACCATCTCCGTCCGACATCCATATTCCGTCATCCACAACACTGGCATCAACAAGAGATAGATGTCCACAAGGAGCAAGGTGTTACTTTAACTGCATTTATTTACATTTATATTTGAGCAAGGTGTTACTTTAACTGCATTTATTTACATTTATATTTGTCCTTGTCCTCGCATCCAAGAAAACTCACTCTTGGATTTATGACTAAATATCTAACCATACAATTAGATTGTCCTTGTCCTCGCATCCAAGAAAACTCACTCTTGGATTTATGACTAAATATCTAACCATACAATTAGATTGCCTAGCTACAACATTCTGCCAATCTGCCAATAACTAATCACTAAGAAAAAAAGCAACAATCTACTCCCATGGGCCAAAATTTCAGCCGGTTATCACTGCTAACCGGTTTTTGAATTCAAAAATTTGGACCTAAACATCTATTGGATTTTTTATATAAAAAAAATTGGACCTAAACATCTATCCAATAAAAACCAGCCAACACCGGTAACCGGTCTGGAAGGGTACTACACGGGTGGCTCTTTGCTGTGCTCGTCGGCGACGCAGGTGGCTACCTGTGCTTTCTCGGTGTCGTCGCCGGCCTGCAGCTCACGACGAGACACGAACTTGACGGTGTCCTTCCTGAACGTCAGGTAGATCACGGCGACGACGTAGAGCAGCATGAGCGGGAACAGCACGATGCCGATGAGCACGTTGGCGAATGTCGGGAGCGCGTTGTGGAGGATCCAGCCGACCAGCTTTGTGCTGAGGAAGTAGATGTTTATCCCGATGATGACGAACCCCAGCACCCAGGAGAATCCAACAATCTGCAGGTTTTAATTACCAATGCATTATTAGTTTTCCAGGATTTTTTTTGTTTTTGTTTTCTATGTGTGGACAAGCTAGAAAGAAGGATTGATTGATTGATGGGGGAGTGCTTACATAGATGGAGTTCTTGTTTTCACCCATCTTGTTGCTGCTGCTGCTGAACTTGAGAAGAGGGATCAGAGCAAATGGTAGCTCAAAGGATAGAATCATCTGTATGAAACGTAACAGCCAAACCAAAACAAGCATTAGGTTTTGATTCTTTTTAACAGTATGATCAGAAGGAATGAGGTACAACAAATTACATACCGTCCATTTTTTGAAGAAAGAAGCATTTCGATTAGCAAATAACTTACTAATTATTGAGAAAATTAGAAGATGGTTGATTGTATGGCAGTTTTTTTTAATGAGTGTTCTTATGGGCAAACTGATATTTTCATTTGTAGTAAAAGATTGTACCGATGCAATGACGATGAGACGACCGGCGCCACTAGACCCTCCAATGATGGAGACGATTAAGCTAGGCACAATGGCAATGCTGCGTGTCATCAGGTTCCGAAGCCACTGTTTCATTTTGATGTCTAGGAACCCCTGTAGATACATGGAAAAAAAAAACTGTTACTATACATTCAAGCTTGATAGATTGCAAACTTTTTTTCATTTCTTTCACCATTTTGGAGATCTTCTAGTTTACTGCGTGGTTAATACTATACCACTTGAACTGGTCATTAAGAAAATAGTTCACAGATAGTACTTGGTTAATTTGTAAACAAGGTTAGAGTTCAGGTAAAATATACCTGCATAACATATTGCCCAGCATAAGTGCCAGTAATGGTCGAGCTCTGTCCAGAAGCCAAGAGTGCTACACCGTACACTGTCGCACTTGACTTTCCTAGCACATTCTGAAAAAAAAATAAATAATAATTCTGTAAATGACCATTATATGGTCAATGATAACATGACTAATTTATTTTTGTGAAGAAAATAACACAACTAAATATAAATGGTGATGAACTTTGCACATATATGCAGTACCCTGAGGAGGAAGGATGAGGAGTCCAATGTAAGGTCGCTGCATTTTACAGCATCTTCTGGTGAAAGGTTGGTTGCATTACATACAGTGCCGGAGACAGAGATGATTGCAATGTTGACAAGCAGAGCCACGAAAAGAGCTATCCCACTCTCAAAGAGGAAGAACCTACAGACATCCTGGAGTACAAAAGAATGAAGGAATATGTATCAGCCAACTAGGAGTACCATTTCTTTTTTAATGCAAGAACACGGACATCTGATCACCTTCATTCCTTTTGCTGATGCGGGTGTATTCCTCGACAGCACCAGGGCAGAGTGCAAGAATAGATTGTGCCTGTAATTAATAACTGATAATGCTCACTTATGATTAACAAGAGTGCATTTTGTCAAAATCTAAAAAAAGACTAAAACTACCATTGTGGAGATTTGTAATTACTGGAGAGTTGAAAACCTTATGCATGTTTACAGCTACCCTAGAAGAATCTTAAGACGCAAAAAAGACATTGCACACATTAACAACTGGGGGTATATATGCATGTTTGACTGCTTACGGCATTACAAGAGCCCCAAGAAGGGCAATGGAGTCTCCTGTGGCACCGGGCCCACTGAGCCTGGGGATGAATAATCCTTGAAGGACCTCATTAACCGGAGGCTTGACTATGCTCATCTCCACGAAGAAGCACCCTGCCATGACAAACACCAATAGCGCGACCACAACCTCCAGTTTCCTTACCTAGTTATATAGATGAAGGAAAAATGCAAACAAGTCAATTCAACAACAAACCCATTTGTAATGACCACCATTTACAATGACCAAACAGTAATGATCAAATACAATACAATGATGTTTAGACATTCATTAAAACATTTTATACAGACATCTATCATATATCCAGTCATAAATAGTTGGTTACCCCATATCTTTGCAGTCCAAGAAGAAGAAGCGTGCTAGAGCCAGCAATGAGAACCCCGGTCCACACTGGTATGTGGAACAAAAGGTTGAAAGCAAATCCTGTACCTATAACTGCACAAAAGGTACATGTGTAAAAAACACCAAATATTAGATTAGATGTTGTTGCTTTCTTCTCAGAAAAAGTGCTACATATCATAATGTTTAGTGGATAAGAGACTGTATACAATCAGTGCAAGTGTTGCTCGTACACTTATATCAGTGAGAGAGTTTATAAACTTAATCAACTGAAACTCAAAGGTGACAGTTAAACATTAACTTTTTTTTATTTAGATCTATCATTCTATTTCCAACCTTCTGGAATATCGGAAGCAATCACAGCTAGTTCTGCTAGCAGCCATAAGCAGGTTTTCACCCATACTGGATATTCAGTCTTGCACAGCTCAGCAAGATGGCGCCCTGTATCAATTGACATTCATTACTTGCTACTTCCAACTGAAATGTTAAATCAATTGTGTGCTGAAAGTGTCTATTTATTACCTGTCACCACTCCAAGATTAGCCGATAATGATTGTATAATCAGTGCAAAGATCAGGCCAATCAAAATCACCCAAAGAAGCTAAGAAACATATGAAAGAGCACATCAAGAAGCATATCAGTTAATTGTTTCTTTCTTCTCGCTGTAACAAAAGACATGACAACTGTGATAAATGGCAGGAAAAGTCATATAGAAAAGGCTAGAGAATGTACCTCATATTTGTGATTGGCACCAGCTTGTAGATCAGTCTCCACTGTTTCAATTCGTCAAGCGTGAGAAACCATATGAGTGTGAGAAAATAAATTTAGAGAGAGAATATTACTATTTCCAGGATCGAGGTAAGCCAAACAGACCATAAAGCCTGGTCCAATGTGGGACAAAAACCTTTTCCATGCTGGCTCCTGTGTTACATGACCAATTAGTAATAAATATGCATGCACATCATGTCAAAGAAAATAATTAAAACATAAAGCAAAATATAAAATAGGTACAAAACTAAGACTATTTTCAGTCAAAGTCTCAAAGACGTACAAACAATACAAGAATGAGTGAATGATACATTCAACTAAGCATTGGAAAATGAGTTATGGAAATATAAATAAATGCGACAATGGTAGGGCAAGTAAAATAACTAGCCACAAATGTGAAGAAATGTATATTAATGTAAGAAATGATGTTCACATGGACTCGCTATTATAGTCCAACAAGAAGAGGCTAAACTTTCAATATGAAATTTGTAATTTGAAGCTTATAACGAACATCTATGCGAAGCAGATAATGTCAAGCTATATGATTTTGGATTAGGTACGGCGGAGAAACAAATCATATTGTACTATCGGCGACCTATAGTAAGATAAACTGAGATCTAGGCTAAACCATACAAGAGATGACCAAAAGTAGAGACATTAAACAACAGACTTCTATTGTACAATAGACTTCGTTTGTCAAACAAGAGCAGAGAACCGTAATGCCTTAGTTTGTCAGACTTGATATCAAACAAAAAAACTGAGGTGATCACAATCTATTGTTTTGTATCTCATCTTTGTTCCATAATAAAAATGAACTATTAAGTCATAGTTATCGAAAGGAGAAGCTCCTAATTAACAAAACGACTTCTCCCTTTTATTTTCTCCTATAACTTAATGCCACTTTTCTTTTGAATAGAGACATAGAAGACTACTCTACTAAACACGATTTTTCAGCAAAGAAACATGAAAGAAACCCATCATTGAATCAACTTATAAATATTGAAGGCGCCGTGTCCTGTGGATGCATCCTCTGGGGCATTTTCACAAACAGCAAGAGTGCATACCAACAGGAATCAGATCAGAGATAATAATTTCTCACTCCTGTCCGTCCAACTCCAACTGCGACATCGATGCGATCCCTCATTCATAGGTAGATTTAAGTATGAGCAACCAGGAGTATTTGCAGAGAGAATTAACCTTTCTGAGATCGGCGAGCGCCTCGATGTCGTCCACCACCTTCCCGCCGTCGCCGGCAACCGCCTCCGCCTTCGTCACCCCCATACTAGTGCGGCTTCTTTAGCTCAGTCGCCTGAGTTTGCCTTGCCTCTCAACAACTCGCCGCCGGCGCCGAACCCCGATCTCTGCAAGAAACCTCCTACTCGACCACGACTGATATATATAATGTATAACACATGTACGTGGCGGCCTCCGGTGACGTGCGGTTAGTTGGAGAGAGAGAGAGAGAGGGAGTTCGAGCGGAGATCCTCCGGTCGCCGCGGGGGCGCGCGCCGCCGCGTGCCGGGCACGCGCCGCCGCGTGGGCGCGCGGGTGCTCTCTCTTCAGCTGCGCGTGCGCGCCCGTGGCGTGGGCATGGCGTGCGAGGAGGTGGGCCGGGCCGAGCGAATGGGCCCAGTTGTTGCTGGAGTATAGAGTATTTCCCGATTCAATTTTGCTATTTTCTTTCGTAGTCTGTTGGATGTAAATATAATAGTAGAAAAAATCTAGGTGAATTTTTGTTAGAAATCACCCGACAATTGGATAGTCAGTTCCCGATTGTGTTTTCAAAAGTTAGTCATCTATCAATAAACGGATTGAGTATATCCATAACGTTTTTGGAGTGTTTTCTTTCTTGAAAACACCTTCCAAAGGACATTTTTTCTTATGTGGTAAACTTCACCAATGTTAACGCCGGCTGATGCGTGGGCATTAGCAATTTTGCAGCCGGCCCACTTGTGAGTTGCGACCCTCTTAGAGGATCTTTTTTGCCTGACTAGGGGGCCTAAAATTATTTGGCGCTTCACAAATTCATCCCAATTTATAAGATCAAATACATGTATGTAAATATGAAAAGATGACGCTCAATGAAGTCGGCGTCGTTCCATCCTAATTTAACAGATCAAACACATGAGAGGATCGAACACATAGGAACATGAAGAGGTCTTGCTTAATGACATCCAAATTTATACATTTGGATGAGTTTGTGAGTACCAAATCATTTCAAGTCCACCTAATCTATGATAACATTATTTGGGAGGGTGGCAAGTAGGCTGCCTCAAGAATTATACCTGTCTCTTAGCATGGTGTGACCGGTGGTTGGTCGTTTGACGTGACATAAAAAAAATTAAAAAAGCACCTTTTGAAGAGCGTTTATCCTATATACCTATACAAATCATCCCCACTACTAGGAAATCTCTGCTTCCTGGTGCTTCACATCGCCCCATTTGCTATGAACCGTACGATCTGAATCATTCGGAAGGGAAGCCATGAAGCAGCCTCCCAGAGTTCCCCGGTTGTTTATTGGGCCGAAAGAAGCCCATGTTATGGCCCAACTCAACGGGTATCCATCCCTAACCAGAGGCAAACCCTCCAGTTCCCTATACCGCAGCGCCTTAGGTGACGGCGCCCGTCACTTCCTCTCCCGTGTCGTGTCCCTCCCCCTATCCGGCGCTCCCTCTGCCTTTAGTTCAAGCCCACCTGCCGGCTGCCGCCTCCTAGCCTTTTCGCCTCCTCGGAATGTCATGAGAAATGAAACCGCTGCTTCGAGAGCAGACTTCATGGTTGTCATCAAAGACATCAATTTACTGCTCCCATAACGTCATGGTGAATTCATCCTTGGCCTTCGCTTATTACTGGGGAATGCTTCAATCAGGTTCTCTGTCCTTCTCCACCAAGGCACCAACTCTGCTTCATCTGAGTTTCCACATGTACAATGTTCTGCATTGATAACCGTAGTAAGTAGCTTTATTTTTATCCCTTTGGATATTTGATATGTACAGAAAGTTATTTGGTGATGTGGTATCTACAGCCTTCCTTCTGAATGTGTTATGCTGCTCCTGTAGATCTTCAATCTGAAAAAAGGAAAAAAAAAAAGGTGTGCACCGCTTTTCCTTAAACCTTCCTCCGAAATTTATTCAGTTGTCTCTAAGCGAATGATCAATTTACCCTATTCTCTTTGTCAGAGTTAAGTTCAATGGTTATTTTAAATAGCTAACGGTGATGAATACCTTATACCATTTAACTGAATTTTATTCAGTTGTACTCTCGATCTAACGTATGTTCAATCCAGCTGATTAGTACTAGGTTGATTTTCTGAATCAAACATTGCAGGGAGTCCCCCGCAGTTAAGTCATTGATTTGTTGTACAATAAGAACATGTGCTCGCTCAATGTATTGGCGCTAACAATTGGTCAAGATTCTCTCACCTGCCACCATTATCCTGCGGGTAGGCAGCTATACTTCTATTCTCTCTCTCTCTCTCTCTCTCTCTCTCTTACATTATTCATCTTTGATCTTGGTATTAGGCCCGCAGCTGGCTCAGATTATTCTGTCCTCTTTCCCAGCCAATGACCATATTGCATAGATTTAATTTTCCCTAAACTGAAGTGATGAAGCAAGCTTCTACCCAACCGGCCACCTTTATTCTCTGATGATGAGGTAGTTTACTTTATTATCCCCAGGTCTTCTACCTTTAAATGTCATGGTTTTTGCCTTTATGAGAATCCAGTTTTCCTTTTCATAATAGAAGGTGATTCCGAAGGTGCTCTAATCTTTCTCCTTTCTTTCTCATTTTTCTTGCCATAGTATCATCAAGTGATTCACTACCTTACCATAGTATTATCAGGTGATTCAGATGTAGTGAAAGGATGTAATTGCATGAAGTGATTTGATCAATACACAAAATAGAAGTGCAACTGATCGTCATCTGCAGTATAGGGCAGGTATTTCACTACTCTCTGCTCAAAACTCATATTAGATCCATCAGTTAAGTGTGTTAGTATTCGTTCTCCGTAGCTTCTATTTTACGGATTGTTTTTTTCTCTTTCTGAATTCATCCTGCAAATATCACGTTTTTGTTTAGTTTAAAAAAGTCTAGAAATGTATAAGCTTTACTAGGGAAATTTTTCAGCTATTTGTTTACTCAATAAAGTGCAATACAGCACTACGAGGTAAAACTGGCCCTTCCAAATGTTCCCATAGAATTTTACTTAATCTATTGTTCAAAGTGTGTTGTACGTATTTTTTTTATATTTGAAAATATGTACACTGTTAATTACACACCGTTAACTTCACATGTGCAGCCTACATATTGTTGCTCGACTAACCGAGTTTGTTACTGTAGATGGCAGGTTCATTTGTTGTAAGAGCAAGTTTAATAGTATAGCCCACTACTAGCTCTAATTCATCTATAGCCAATCTAATAGCTCATCCATACAATAGTTACATACTACACTATTAATACATGGTCCCACCTGTCATACACACACTGCGTCTTGAAGTTCGTGCTACAGCTAGCTACAAATCTGTAGCCCTCTACTCTTCTCTCTTCTTATTTATCTCCTTAAAATATGTTTGTAGCTGGCTTATAGCTAGCTATGGCTGGAGCTCAGAAGTTGCTTGCAACCTAATCAGGCTAACCATTCAATCATGAGTTAAGAATATAACAAACTGGTGAATGTGATTCAGAAAACAAAGAAGCTGATAATTAATTAAGAACTTCCATTATTTCAGGTGAACATCTTCACAATTTACTGTTACAAACATCAGGGTTTCAAATTAATTATCATGTAACATTAGACTACATGAAACAACTTTCGGGCTATATCTATTACTACAAGTTTACAACTCTAGGTCATATAAAAATGTCCCGCAGCAATGTACGGAGTATTATCTAGATATATAAATAAAGCTTCCAAAGAACGTTAAAGATCCGTAAAACTTGAAAACAAAAAGATATAGTACTGTAAATATATTTTTGACCAAGTAGTTTTGTAAATCTTCTTCTACTTAAAAAAAATCATAATTAGGGGTGAAAACGAGCAAGTATGGTCGGATTATGCCATTCCCATACCCTAACCCATATTTTCTTTTAAATTCGGAGTCGGATACGGGTAGTGCCGGATAATATATCACTCATCCCATATCCTATCCTATATTATTTGCTTCGAATCGGATTCGGGAATGGATATCTATTTGTATCTCTAATTCATAGATATTAAATAAAATAAGGTAATTAAAGTATTAAAAAAGATACGTCAAGAAAAAAAATTATACAATATACATATGAGCACGTAAATAGTGATTAACTAATCTTTTATCATGTTTTTAGGTGGATTTATAATAAATTTTCATACATGTTATATAATAGGGACATACGGGCGGATACATGTCTTCCCGTATCCTAACCCACATTTTCCCAACAAATTCAGATTTAAACTCGGATAGTATCGGATATCCCATTTTTTCTCCCATATTCCTCCCGCGAGCCTCGGGTCAGGCGGGCGGTACGTCGGGAAATACTCACCCCATTTTCACCCCTATTCGTAATGGTGGTCTTGATTTTTGACACAGTAGACGCATTAGGCAGACATGCGCAATCGTAGCCGTTTGATCACCAAATCTAACGTCCCAGATTGCCTCGATCATCCCCTCCCTTGCACTCTATGATATAGATGGCCAAATGGCCCGCCCGACCCGACCTACATGCCGAGCCTTCTCACGGGCTGCACCCATGGCCCTGGAGAGGCCCAACATCGTGTTTCTCCATATAATAAGTCTATTTTTCCTCCCTCATAGCTTTGCGTTGCGTCTTATATGGCTACAATAAGTCTATTTTGTATCCTTTTTTCTTTGGGCCGTACCTTATATGGCTGTAAGTCTATTTTGGACCCCTCAACTATTTTTCTTTGACCGTCATGCCGGGGCGACCCACCATGACAAGGCATCGGCCCAGGCACGATCCAACTGTTGGGTCGGGCCGGCATGAGCTCAACACCAGTCGCACCGTGCCGTGCTTGGGCGGGCCAAATGATCGTGTCGTGGGTCGTGTCGTGTCGTGTAGTGGGACTATGGGGCCCCCTTTAGTTCGATCGGGGGTAGCGGGTGAGAATTGAGGCTTAGTGGAAGAGAGATGTGGAGGGGGTCGGGCCCCTCTAGAGCAACGAGACAAAAGGGATTTTTATAGGTTCGGGCCACTGAGAAGCGTAACACCCTACTCCTGCATGTGGTTGATTCTGTGGGGAATACAAGTGTTCACGCAAGCCGAATGCCTTCAAAAAACCCCCCTTCTTCACTAGGCCTGGACCTCCTTTTATACCTCAAGGGGTTACCACAGAGGCCCTAAAAGCTACCTAGGGAAGAAGGAAAACATTCTTTACATTTAATGCATGTCTTGTTCCTCTGACTTGGAAGTCCTTACGCCCATTGGTGCGGCATGTGCCCTCATCAATTCAAGCCGGACGACACGGGGGACGCATGTGTCACTCCTCATTAATGGATGAAGACTTCTGGGCACCCTGTCCCACTAGGGAACGGAAACCCGGATCGGACCGGAGCGGAACGTGGACTCAGGCCTAGGCAAGGGGCAAACAACCCTCAACATACCGATGTGATGGGGCAGCGCAAGCTGCAAGCCGTCTAACAAGCAGTCAGCAGTCAGGTGCACTAACCCCGTCGGACCCATCATTCGGGCGACGTGCGGCCTGTCAGCCACGCCTGCATGCCACATTAAATGCGACGAGGCGCGGCCATCTGGCTCACCTTAAATGCGGTTAGGTGGGTGTTAGGCGCGCCCACCTAACCCTGCTCACATGGGCTGACACGTGGAGGGGGTCGGGGCGACCCGACCCCCAAGCGAGGAGGGGGTGACAACCACTTCACCCAGGGCCCGACCCCTCCCAGGGAAGAGCCACATGGGTTTGGGAATGGCTCCTCCCTCTACACTTGATATCCCAGGCCCATATCACCGACAATAGCCCCCGGCGTTAGCCGTGACCAAAACCTTCCCTAGGTGGTCAGGGTTGATGCCACTCTTTTAGTCTAATGACATGTGGGCCCGGTCTTTCTTTCGTGTTTTGTGAAGCGATTCGGTAGTTGTGGCCCCACGCGAAGCAAAAACCGCCTCCCCGGCAATGATGGGCTATCACTTCGTAACTGCCACATCACCTGGGTAGGTGCGCGGGGCAGATATGTCAGTGGATTTGCCAGCGAATAATGATGGCGGCTTCCCCGGTTACCGCGCGCAATTAAGGAGGGCGTGGTTCCACTTCCGTCTCAGTCGCAACGGCAGCGTGCCTAGCACGCGCGCTAGAAACGGATGCGTGGAGATAGTGGGCACGAAAAACGAGGGGGCGAAGTGAGTGGCCGCAAGAATCGAGGTGCCAGGCGTGGAGGAGGGGAGGATAAAGGGCGTCGAGGAGGGATTTTGTTCACATCCTTTCACCACTAGAATCCGCTGCGCTCCTATGCCCTAGCTCTCGCCGCTCTCTTGCCTCCTCTCGCCACACACACTCGCTTCTCGCCACACCACCTTCGTTGACGCCATGACACGGAGCTCCGTGCCGCTGGATGGCAGCTTCCTGCCTCCCTCTCGCATTACCAACGAGAGGTTCGCGGGTCTGCCGCGCAAGTTCATGCCGACGCTGTCGGCTCCCAAAACTAATGATTCGGAAACCGATATGTTTAACTGTATCAAGCCCTGGATCAGTAGATTGATACAGCTTCAACAATCTGGATCTTCATTGCGTACATTTAAACAAGGCTCCAAAGGAGATGTTATTACATAAAATAATAGGGGAATTTGCAAGTTTGTGGCTAACTATCACAACAGAAGCTATAGAATGACTCAACTCTAATGTTTTGCTATAGACTTAAACCATCTAACTAATCTAGATTTGAGAACTAGGTTGAAATAAGACTAACTTATATGATTGAACTCCTGGCTTCAGCAAGAACTTCAATTTAACTCTGGAAAAAGGGGGTTGAAGCAAGGATGAGTACAACGTACTCAGCAAGCTATTATATTCAATAATGAATGTATGAAAAGGTAATATTTGAGTAGGATTACGATTACTTGCAGAAGGCAGAGAATATAGAAATAGAAAGCCTGATGCTTGAAATGCAGCAGCATTTAGTAAAATCTTGAATTAAGTTTCTAACCAAAGTACCATCTGAGTCCCGATACTCAATTCCATGAGCACGGCTATTCGAATAGATTCATTTTTACTTTACTGCAGTAAATGTACGCTTTACCCGCAATCCATGACATGCCAATATTCATTAGCTTAGTCATGGCAAAGCTTTTCGGTTACTAACATCAGTGGTACCTGTTCCATGAACTCTCATCCTAATGCGCTCTGAACGTAACGTTATCAGTAGCGAGAGGAGTTCTGGCGTTCCCGAGGTTTTTAGAGAGAGAACTGGTTGAGAGACCCCCGTCATCTCAACTAGGTTTTCACAATATACACACACTTGAGCTCAACATATCATTTACCTGCGCCTCAGTAAATGTTATATTTGCCCTTCGTGGCATATGCCCTTCGCGGCATAAGTTTGCCTCCTGAGCGAGGACTTAAATAAGAACCACTGTATAGAGGTACCACCTTTGCTAGATAACTTACTTTGCAAGGTCTGTCCCTATTCTAAAATTGCGGTCGTACTCGTTCGTTTGACATAAGTACTTGGTAATAACTATATTGACTGAGACAGTACTAGCCACCCGAAAATCAACCAATTCCTACGTACTGTCCCAATCTAAGTTCATTATATTTTTATGCAGACTAACTAGGCAGGGCTAAGCAAAGCTAGCATATGTCTGGTTTGCTATATGTTCAGGTTATGTATTCAAAATCATGAATGACTAATGCATAGAATAGAGATATAGAATATAGGATAATTATGCTCAAGGGGAGGAATAATAACTTGCTTTGCTCCAACGCAAATAAATCCAAGATAGGCAACCTGATTATCCGATGCTAGAAATACCTCAGGTTGCCATCCAGAATATAATAGACTCTACTAGAGAAGAGGAAGAGCCAATTTCAATAAAATCCATAAAATAGCAAAAGATCGATAAACGGCTAAGAGAGCTAGGGTTTAGGGTATAAGCTATCTTCTTTATAGGGTATAGGGATTATGGGCTAATACTTTATGTGGAGGTTCTAGAGGGTTGGAGGCTAGAGGGGATTAAGTAACAATTGTCACTTGTATTTTATGTGTGGGTTTTAGTTTCTTGGAGAGTAGGGGATATACTAAATAATCTAATTGGTTAAGTGGATATGTGGCTAGTATTGGTTGTAGTTGGGCTTTGGTAGAAGAATGGCTAGGATTTACTTGTTCTCGAGTCGATGCTGAAATAGGATAGCATATGGGCTCGTATTTCATGTATAGGTTATGGGTAGTTGGAGGGTAAATGGTTGGTATGGAGTTTGGATAGCAGACTGGCTGGGGTTTCATTTGATTAAGCCGATATCGAGGTAGGATGAATATCGGCTGGGATTTGGGTGTTTGCTAGTCGTTGCTAGAGTTGGGCAGTATAACGACTAAAATTGGTATCTTCTCTAGCCAGTGTCAACAGACAGCATAACGGTTAGAGGGATAGGAAGTTTGTGTGGGTTTAGTGGGGCGGAAGTGTTACTCCGACAACCGTGAGTGGCAGCAGAACGGTTAGGATCACACAGAGCCCAAGAGCTAACTGTGCGGCGTGCTGTGGAGGTCGAGGGAACAGTGAAGCTCCGACCACTATACGCATCGAGGCGTGGGGTGCCAGGAGCAGCACTTCGACCTTAGGTTTGGTTTTGCCGGGCTTTACAACCAACGGTCCGACATCGGGGATAGTAAACCGCGAACGTCCCATGGAAGGCGTAAAGTTCCAACCGGCGGCTTTTTAGTGGCTAAAGGGTATTTTGGGTTAAAAAGAAATATTTGAAAAGACAAACATAAATTCAAACAGTATTTGAATAAATTCAAATAAAATATTAAAATAGCAAATTTGGGGTCAAAAGATGGGGTTTGAATTTAGATGAATTTAGGTCTAAGTTTCACTGGAATTGGATCTACGGTTTAGGAGATATGGACTTCTAAAGAATAGGATTTGAATTAAATAAGGAAAATATAAAATGTTACTGTGCAGGGGCCCACCTGTCAGTCTTTCTTTTTCTTTTTCTTTTCTTTCTTCTTCTTCCTCCCGTCATCTTCCTCCTCTCCTTCCCGTGTAACAGCATAGAGAGAGAGAAGGGGCATATAGACTAAAGAAACCGACATGTTTAGACTGTATCAAGCCCTAGATCAGTAGATTGTTACAGGTTTAACAATCTGGATCTTCATTGCATATATTAGAATAAGGCTCCAAAGGAGTTGATATTACAAAATAATAGGGGAATTTACAAAATTGTGGCAAATTGTGGCTAACTAATACAACAGAAGCTATAGAATGACTCAATCCTAATGTTTTGCTATAGACTTAAACCATCTAACTAATCTAGACTTGAGAACTAGGTTGAAAGGAAACTAACTTATATGATTGAACTCTCGGCTTCGGCAAGAACTCCAAATTAACTCTGAAAGAAGGGGGTTAAAGCAAGGGTGAGTACAACGTACTCAGCAAGCTATTATATTCAAGTATGAATGTATGAAATAATAGTATTTGAGTAGAGCACTACTACAGATCTGGGCTTCAGTGACGGGTCATTTGTGACGGGCCAACACAATTCGTCAAAGATGAGTCATCTCTGACGGGCCGAAAAAATATCCTCTTCAATATATGGCTACCAGGGAGGACCCGTCACAGATGTGAGGTCATCTGTGACGGCTTGCACTTGTAACCCGTCACAGATCGTCTGTGACGGGTCACAACAATGGCTCGTCACAGATCATCTGTGACGGGTGTAGTATTATGAACCATCACAAAAGAGACCACTTATCTCTGATGGGTCTTTAACTAACATACGTCACAGATAACGTTATCTCTGACGGGTGGTAGTCATGACCCGTTAGTGATGAGTGAAAATTCAAATTTTCAAATTTTACAAAAAACCTCGGATTGAGACATGTCCTATATAAAAGTTGTAGCTCTCGATGATATCCACAACTTTATAACTAACAACATTTCTATTAGAGATCATTTACATCCCCGAACATGCATTACAAGTGATCAGATCTACTTTTAAAAACAAAATTTTGAGTTTTTTTCAAATGACATGGATGGATACATGCCCCGTATCAAAGTCATAGAACTCAACCAGATCTACAATATTATAATTGAAAATATTTTCATTTCACAAAGTTTACATGTTATAAAGTGAGATATATTTTGAAAAATGAAATTTTGAATTCTTCAAACAACATCGAATGAAGATATTTTCTATGTAAAAGTTATAAAACACGATGAGATCTATAACTATTTAGTTGATAATATTTTCATTTGAAGTCATTTAGGGTGTTAAATATATGTTAAATGATTCAGACAAGCATAGACAAAATAATAACATTGGGTGAGTAGTCAATATTTGTTGAGTAGGTGAGTTGGTAAGGGAGCTCTATATGGAGGTTGAGGTCTTGAGTTCGAATCTCATGTGTAGCATACAAGTTATATTGCGTAAAAAATTGTGAATTTGTAGGTAGTTGATGTGTGACCATGTATAGGATGGCTAGTAAAATTCAAAATATTTTTTTGAGGTTTTTTTGTTGCGTTTAAAATTCAAAAATTGTATTTCTTGCTTTGTCATCACTGACGGGTCGTAAGTTACAACCCGTCAGAGATGAGTCATCAGTGACGGACAGGTAGTTACGACACGTCACTGATAACTCATATGTGATGGGTGACAAGTTTTATCCCGTCAGAGATGACACACCCGTCACAGGTGATTTTGTCATCAGTGACCACTAATCACTGACCAAGACCAAACCTGTCAAAGGTGAGGGTTTGGGCCCGTCAGAGATGACATGGTCCGGCGTAGTGGCTAGATCTATTTGCAGAAAGCTAAGAAAGTAGAAGGAGAAATTCTATAATGTTTTGAATGCAACAATATTTAATAAAATCTGGAGTTATATTTCTAACCAAGATGCCATAGTGAGTCTCGATGCTTAATATCCGTAAGCACGGCTATTCGAATAGTTTCAGAAATACTCATACTGCAGTAGATGTATGCTTTACCCGCCATCCATGACATGCTAATATTCATCAAACCTGTCAAAGGTGAGGGTTTGGGCCCGTCAGAGATGACATGGTCTCGCGTAGTGGCTAGATCTATTTGCAGAAAGCTAAGAAAGTAGAAGGAGAAATTCTATAATGTTTTGAATGCAACAATATTTAATAAAATCTGGAGTTATATTTCTAACCAAGATGCCATAGTGAGTCCCGATGCTTAATATCCGTGAGCACGGCTATTCGAATAGTTTCAGAAATACTCATACTACAGTAGATGTATGCTTTACCCGCCATCCATGACATGCTAATATTCATCAGCTTAGTCATGGCAAAACTTTTCGGTTACTAACATCAGTGGCATCTGTTCCATGAACTCTCATCCTCATGCGCTCTGAACATAACGTTATCAGCAGCGAGAGGAGTTCTGGCGTTCCCGAGGTTTTTAGAGAGAGAATTGGTTGAGAGACCCCCGTCATCCCAACCAGGTTTTCACAATACACACACAGCGCGCAATAATCAATATATTTACCTGTGCCTCGGTAAATATTATAATCGCCCTGCTCGGCGTAAATTTGCCTCCTGCGTGAGGACTTAAAGAAGAACCACTGTACAGAGGTACCACCTTTGCTAGATAACCTACTTTGCTAAGTCTGTCCCCATTCTAGAATTGGCGGTCGTACTCGTTCGTTCTTCAGATGTACTTGGCAATCTTATGTCGGTTGGAACAGTATGAGCCACCCGGAAATCATGCATTTCTACCGTACTGTTCCAATCTAAGTTCGTTATATTTTATGCAATCTAACTAGGCATGGCTAAGCAAAATCTAGCATATATCTGGTTTGCTATATGTTCAAGTTATGCATTTAAAATCATGAATGGGTAATGCATGGAATAATAGAGATATAGAATATAGGATAATAATGCTCAAAGGGGAGGAATAATAACTTGCCTTGCTCCAACGCAAATAAATCCGAGATAGGCAACCTGATTATCCGATCCTCGAAATACCACAGGTTGCCATCCAAAATAAAATAGATTCTACTAAGAAAGACGAAGAACCAATTTCAATAAAAGCCATAAATAACAAGAAAACGATAAATGGTTAGGAGGGCTAGGGTTTGGTGGTGTGCTAGTCGATGCTAGAGCATAATGACTAGGTTTGGTATCTTCTCTAGCCGGTGTCAACAGATAGCATAACGGCTAGAGGGATAGGAGGTTTGTGTGGGTTTAGTGGGGCGGAAGTGTTACTCCGACAACCGTGAGTGGCGGCTAGGATCACACACAGAGCCCGAGAGCTAACTGTGCGGCGTGCTGTGGAGGTCGAGGGAATAGTGAAGCTCCGACCGCTGTACGCATCAAGGCATGGGGTGCCAGGAGCAGCACTTCGACCTTGGGTTTGGTTTATGCCGGGCTTTACAACCAACGGTCTGACGTCGGGGATAGAAAACCGCGAACGTCCCCATGGAAGGCGTAAAGTTCCAACCGACAGCTTTTAGTGGCTAAAGCGTATTTTGAAAATAAAAGGAAATATTTGGAATACAAATATAAATTTAAATTGGAAATTCAAATATAAGAATAATTAAATCAAATATTTATTCAAATGGTATTTGAATAAATTAAGGAAATTTAAATAAAATCTTAAAATAGCAAATTTGATATCAAAATGAAGGATTTGAATTTAGATGAATTTAGGTCCAAGTTTTATCGGAATCGGATCTACGGTTTAGGAGATATGGGTTTCTAAAGATTGGAATTTGGATTAAATAGAGTAAATTGCGAAAGTATACTGTTCATGGGCCCACCTGTCAGGGATTCTTTTCTTTTTCTTTTCTTTCTTCTTCCTCCCGTCGTCTTCTTCCTCCCGCTTCACAGAGGGCCGAGAGAAGGGAGAGGAGAGGGAGAGAGGGGCGGCGGCGCTCCGGCGGCCGGGGGGTGGCGACGTCGGCGGCCATGCGCGTTCCCGAGCAACGCGCATACGAGGAGGGTGGTGGCCGGCAGAGGGAGTTAGGGAGGAGGCCGGAACGGCGACAACAAGAGCTCGGTTTCGGCCGGTATAGGGGGCGGCGGTGGTGGCTTAACTCGGAGGGGAAGAGGAAGGGAAAGGTTAGGGAATGGATTTGCCTCGTCGAGGCGAAGGTAGTGGCGCGAGGGCTTGGTCGGAAATGCTCCGACGAGGGAGATCGGCCGATGGCCGGCATTTGGAAGAGAGAGAGAAGAGAGAAGCTCGGGGCTCGGCTTGGTGTGGGGAAAAGAGAAGGGCTCGCCGGCTATTTATAGGCGGCGAGGGGCGGTGGATGATGGCGGTTCTGGAGGCGGTTTTAGAGGAGAAGAAGAAGAGGAGCACGTTAGCGGCGACGTGAGGAAGAGGAAGACGGCATCGTTCTCGTTCTATGATTGGGCATCGATGTCGGTTTGCTTCAGAGGCTGACGTCGGCGGCGTGAGATGGCGGTGACGTCGGCGGCGATGCCTTGGCGACGACGGCAGGACGTTGGCGGCGGCGTGTGAAACCACGGCGATGGTAGCGGCATGCGCGGGTATGCCGTGCGTGCCCACGACGCACGGTGACGGCGCCCACAGGAGGAGATGGAGCGGCTGCTTCTGTTGGGCCAAACTGGGCCAGTGGGCCAAAAAGGAAGAAAAAGAAGACTTTGGCCCAGATTAGAAATAAATGTTTTTCTAAATTTTGACAAGGGTTTGGGTGATTAGAATTTAAATTTGGAGAAGATTTGGAAGGAATTTGAATAGGGAAGTTTGAAAGGAAATTATGTAGGAGATATTTTCTAGTTTGAGTGCAATATTTTGAGGGAGAGGATATAATGGAATTTATTTGTTGCACTCAAATGAGAAGAAGAGAATATATATATTGGCATGAATAGTATGATTCCTAAAATAGAGGATATAATTGAGAATATGGGAGGAGATGGATGGATGAAGATAAATAGGATTTTTAGCCTCGAAATATATGGCATGGGTTTCAAAGAATTGTTTGAGGCTAAAAGGAAATTTGGATGACAAAGATATAATCTATTTTCTTAGCACAAGAGCAATTATTTTAATATTTATAATATTGCTTATTCTTGTGCCGAATAGGAGATCAAGCCACAGAGATTAAATTAGTGGCTAGATTAAAAGGAGGAATTTAGATATTTGGATCGGGAATCAAAGATAGGTTTAAGATCAAAGGATGGGTTAACAATTAATTCAATAGAATCAGAATTTCGGTGGTTTAGGTTCAAGGGTAATATGGGAAGATTTATTGGACCATAATTCATAATAATAAAAATGGTTTTCAAACTAAATTTGAATAAAAGAGCTTTAGTCGAAAGAAGGTTTAATAAATAGAATTCCAACAGGAAATACCAAATATGTTTTTAAATGAAAAACACAAAAGAGATTAAATACCAGAGAGGTTTTATGCGAGTTAGTTTTAGGAGGTCCCACTAATTATATTTTCCTAGGTTTAGAAGGTTATTAAGAACATAAGAATTAACATGATGCAAGATTAGAAAATAGCTAATTTTCAGTATGTTACATTCGAATTCGGAGAATATTTGAATAAGAAGGTTTGAAAGGAAATTATATCCAAATATAATTTCCAGAAGAGAGATTTTCTGGTTTATTTGAGTGCAATATTTTGGAGTGGGAGTTTGTTTGATGCACTCAAAATAGGAATTCAAAATATTCAACACCATAAATAATATGGCTCTAGATTTGAATATTTTTGAGTATGTGGAGCGAATATGGAGGGAGTAGAATAAATAGAATTTTAGCCCAAAATATATGGCATGGATTCTAGAGAAGTATATGAGGCTAAAAGGAAATTTGGATCGAGAATCAAGGATAGGTTTAAGATCAAAGGACCCAATTAATTCCAAGAAAATTGGAATTACTTTGGTTTAGGTTCAAGGGTTGTGTTGGTGGATTTCTTGGACCACAATTCATAAAAGTAAAAAGGATTTTTAAACTAAATTTGAATAAAGGAAATTTTGGTTGAAAGAAGGTTTAAGATGCAAAAATCAAAGAGAATACCTCAATTTAACAAGATCAATTTTTAGAATAAAAGCCACGAAAGATTTTAAATACCAAAAAGGGATTTTATGCATGTTAGTTTTAGGAGGTCCCTCTAATTATAATTTCTTAGGTTTAGGAAGGTTATTAAGAACATAAGAATCGACATGATGCATATTTAGAAAATAGCAAATTTTCAGTATGTTACAGACGTCGTCCGGTCGGGCAATGATTATCCTGGGCGAGGCATGCCCGACGCTGCGTTATCCGGAGCGGCCAGTCTTCTTCCTCTTGTTCGTCATGGTGGGATTGACTCCCCCTTTTTGTCTTTCTTCCTCGATGTTCAGGACTTCTACGAGATCCAGATGGCGCACCTCACCCTGAACGCCGTGCTGACACTTGCCATCTTCGCACATCTGTGCGAGATGTTCATCGGGGTGAGGCCGTGCCTCCGCCTCTTCCGTTGGTTCTTAACCATGCAACTGGTGTCCCCCGCGACGGAAGCCGACGGCTGCTACTTCTAGCCGCGCGCCAACACGCAACAGCACTATTTCGGGCAGACGCTACGCAAGAAGTGGGACGACTGGAAGCACGATTGGTTCTACACCGTCCTCCCTGACAACGTCCACCTTTGGCTCCCTACAGCACCGCCCGTTCAGACGTCGAGCTGGCGGTCATTGTCGGTGTTGGGAGACACGTATGACGCAGTGATCGACTACCTCGCCGGTCTGCAGTATAAGGGGCTGACTGGTGCCATGGTCTTCAGCGACTACACTCGCTGCCGGATTGCGCCTCTCCGGGAGCGGGTCCGGGGTGCATGGTCATACACCGGCTCCGACGACTCCATCCGGACTCATCCGGGGCAGACCTGGGACTAGAACTATGCCAACCTCAAGCTAGTGGTCCAGTGGGTGCTCAGCCTCAGGGATGTCGAGCCGTCGCTAATCCCCCACAACATCCTTCCTCCATCCTGGCCATCATGCAAGCGATAGGCGCAGGCGGGGACCGCAGCGGAGGTGATGGCGCTGGCGGCAGCCACGTTTTGGGGGACCGCTACCTATCCGCCCGAGGCGGCCATGGAGGAATGTCCACGGGCGGGGGTTCGGGCAGCAGCCGCCCCTCTGACCCGAAGGGGAAGAGGAAGCAAAGGGACTCCTCTCCCTCCCCGTCCCGGCCCTGCGGGGGCGGCGCAGAGTGCGCCGTTGGCAGGCGCCCAATGGGCACCGAACCGGCGCAGCCCTCAATGACCGCATAGCTAGTGGCTGGGAGGAGGAAGAAATGGCCGTGCAAGACGGCGGAGACCAAGCCGTGCCGGGGGGAGTTTATCAAGTCCCCGGAATGGAGCTCAAGCGCCACCCCCTGAGGTTCGGTCTTAACGCCACATCTCGTGGTTCCTCAACCTATGCCCTTCGCTTATCTTTTCCATCTTGCTTGTTTTTCTCTTTTCTTTTTTTTCTTTTTAGCGAGATCCACCCTTGCGGCGCCCCTGCCGACGATCCCTCCTAGCGGCCCAAGTCACACAGGTCGGAGAAGGCTGAGGCCGAGGCGCAAACAACCAAGACCGGGGCGCGGGGAACCAGGGTCGGTGAGGAGATGGAGTGGCCGGACAACGGCGCGGAGTCCCAGGCCTCGGGAGGGGGCCTGGAGCCAAACGCCGCGCCCGAGGCCGAGCCCGAATAGGCCCCAGGAGGGGGCCAGGATCCAGGCACCGCGCCTGAGGTAGAACCCAAGGCGAGGCCCTCAGGAGGAGAGTAGGCCCTGGGGACCGACGCGCCCCCATACAACTGCTGGCAGGGCGTCCCCGACCGCGCACAGGGCGGAGGCCACCTGGGGGGCCCCTGCCACCAGCGCCACCGGACACACGCCCAGTGCTGGTGGGGGCGACGCCCAAGGCGCGGAGGACGGCGTGTTCCGCTCGCCCGCTGGGGATGGCG